ACTGATTTCCGAACTTTTTCATTTCCGAAAATTAACCGTATATATCAACGCAAACACACCCAAGACAATAAGCGTATCTTTTCGACGTGTTGGTAAACGTTTGACGAAGTAGCGACTATCGGCGACGACGACTTTTCTGGCTGTCCGCAGCAATGAGGTCGGCGACCTCATCAGCCGACACAAATGTACCGCCAGCCATGAGCTCGCGGAGACGCTTGCGAGGGTTCTTCGACTTCTTAAATGAGGGGGAATCAACAACCTGATCATCATACGGATAAAAATCTTGAATTTCAACACTTAAAACTGGCCAGTAATTCGATAATGCGTGATGGCATCACGGTGATGCACATTGATTACTGATAATGATTGATCCCAAGCGTAGCGCACACTTGAATTTTCATATTGTTATCCCATGCATAGCGCTATTATCACTCACAATCATAAGTCTAAGCTCACACCGTATACAATCCACCCTACGAGTTCGCAACCTCAGATTAAAATCATGCTGAACAGATGCCGCGATATTAGCGCTACCTCCTCCTCCTCTGCCTCTTCTTGGTCGGCGCCAATACCATCCATAGCAGCGAAAGCGGCCTCATCTGACAATCAGTACATATAAAACTCCAATGTCGACAAGGCGTTAATGCAATTCACTGCGGTAATGAATGAATATTTCGCACAACGGACAGTCTCTCTGAAATAAATTTTTCCGTCGAAGACGTTTTGCCACAAAATGTTCCATATCAAGCACTATATATATCAAGCCTCGTTCGAACAGAACTAGTCGCACGCCTCTCAGAATGTTTGCTGCGTTTGATAACTACTGCGGTAATCACAAACATGCTATACCGTTTCACATCAATTGACAGCTAGTCTTAAATCTTGTATACTGTATGTGAGCTAACAATTATACGTATATACGGATATAGCGTATATTATAAACAGTATATAATGTTATATATCACACTATATTATATATATTATATATATTTATTAACACATATATTATACTTTATACGCACAGACCCAAGGATGGACAGGGTGTATGGCCCGATGAGGTGCGCAAGGTGTGGTATGAACCATCATACAATTAAATCATCCGACTTCCCGCACGAATATTCATCTTACCATCTTCATCAAAGTCGCCCATATCTTCCTCCTCACTATCATCCTCCTCCTCAGCAAGCGCCGCAGCCAGAGCCTCATCTTCTGACTCTTCCTCATCTAAAAATACAAAAACTTGTAAACAAAAATTGCTTCGCTCCGCTAAGCTACCCTCCGGCATATCATCGCCCATTTCTTCATTGGCCGCAGCTTCAAAGAACTCCTCCTCCTCTTCTCCTTCATTTTCATCTTCAACACCAACGTAATCTTCCCTGTTCTTCTCGCTCGCCCTCTTGCGTTCATCCCGCATAGCGACTACTACAGGATCGTTGTAATATCTGCATTGGCCAAATACTGTAAATCAATCAGCGCCTAGATAAGACCGCGCGCCACAAAATTATACCATTTTCACTAGCACATTCCAATCCTAAGAACTTGACCGCGCGCCACAAAACTATACCACTTTAACTAGCACATTCCAATCCTGATAACTTGACCGCGCGCCCCAAAAATCCTCCTCGCCAACTCCTCCTCGGCTCACCTCGAACCAGAAATTACCCACCGAAAATGACCGCGCGCCACAAAATTATCCCCCGCTCACCGAAGCACACACGGCAGTGCAACTTGCCCTCCTTCCTCCTCCTCCTGCTCCTCCACATTCATACACAAGCCGGCCAGCGCCTTCGGGAAGGAATTCACTTCAATGGTGTCTCGAGCCGTTTTCCTTATGCCAGTTTTGTCTGCTACTCCCGGACAGTAATGATGTTTCATTGGCAGCAACTCCCAGCAACACTTCGACCCATCAAGCGCCGCGCTGTGCCTGAGAAATTACAAAATTACGCCTTCCACAGACCGCAAGTCGAATGAGTGTTATGAACCCACTGATTCAAATCCGCAACGGAGTTTCACCACCCGTTTTACGCGAAGTGGCGTAATACTCCACGTGAAAAACGTGATATTCGCGATGTGAAATGTGAAATGTGTTTTTCACTAGTGTTTTTCACATCACTAGGGTGAAACTCCAATATAACATTTCGCGAATTCCATCGTTCTACTACTTTTGAGAAAAGAATATTTTTTTTCTCCACCGACATTTTTCTACAAATAGAAACTTGTCACTCGAAAACTTGCACATCACCAGTTCAATTCTAGGTCGCGAAAACATTTAGTCATGTGATATTCAATAACAACTCCCATAACATTATTCACCAAATGCCCACCTGGGGTCTCTTTCCACAGCATCATATTTCTTCTCGCCCTCAATAGCTTGCCAATCTATCAATTTCTGCAATTCCTCAGAGCGAGGTAAACTCAAATCCAATGCATGCTCAGCTACAGCAGACATACCCGGTTCGACCGTCATGGAAGCTGAACATAAAACCGTAATTACCTCGTCAAATTTCCGACCGAAAAAAACTACAGCTTTCTTGATTCTCGAAAAAAGCGATTTTTTCTCAGAAATTTCTAATTTTTTTCGAAAATTTCTCCCTATCGGGCGCGAAATCAATTCATTCACTAACCACACTGGGCTAGCGACCACCTATATCGTACACCTATATCTTCACAGTGATGTTATCACTATTTCATAAACAAGTGAATATATCTGGCCATTTTCTACTGTCAACTATACCGTCACGCGCCACAAAATTGCCCTATTTTGTTCAACTATAAAATGCTGCTATCAAAAACCGTCACGCGCCACGAAATTATCCCATTCTGTTTGAAAATATAATATTGTTATCAAAAACCGTCACGCGCCACGAAATTATCCCATTCTGTGTTGTCAATAAAATGCTGCTATCAATTCCGTCACGCGTCTCGAAATTATCCCATTCTGTTTGAAAATAAAATGCTGCTATCAATTCCGTCACGCGCCACGAAATTATCCCATTCTGTTTGAAAATAAAATGCTGCTATCAAAAACCGTCACGCGCCACTAAATTATCCCATTCTGTTTGGCAATAAAATGCTGCTATCAATTCCGTCACGCGCCACGAAATTATCCCATTCTGTTTGAAAATAAAATGCTGCTATCAATTCCGTCACGCGCCACGAAATTACCCAATTGTAGTAGCCTTCTAGCAGTAGCAGTAGCCAAGATAGGCTCAGTCGACTTCGCGCTCATCAGCTCCCAAACCATTTGCAGCAGTGGTACATAATTCGACGCCGATTGCGACTCGAGTGAGTGAACATGATGGTAGATCGCACGCCAACACCTACATGACAAAAAATGACTAATAAGAATCGCTTCGCTCCGCTGAACTCACCGTGTTTCCAACTCAGCCTCCTCATCACTTCGACTACTTCCTCTAGCTTGAGCTCTAGTAATCTAGATAACCATTTTTTCACGAAAAATAAATTTACCCTAGAATTTTTTTTCCAAGAAAAAAAATCTTCAACATCCTATGATGAGCTCTGTTAATCGAAATCATTGAAAAATTCCCGCGAAAATTTTCATTTTTTTTCATAACGAAATAAATTTAAGCCGCAACTTTGAAAAAATATCTTCAAAATCTTCGCAGTGCGTTACCTCAATCAAGAGCATCACCGCCGCATTCCGAGCAGCTGGTGGAACTTCAGCAGACCTGCTATACGATAAACGCAATATAGCATTCATCGCATCTTCAGAGAGTCGCGCTTCGACCAGCGATTCATCAGCGACTGTGAAAGCCTGTACAAGAAAACCAGTGTAAAATACAACAAATCACCGAAAAAAACTATGCAATGCGTACAAATTTTATATGCAAAATTGCGGAGCAAGCGGAGCTTATTCTCTCACTTTCCTAAATTTCGTGCGTCCGCGCGAACGACTTATCCGGCCCGATCTAGAGAGTGTATAAGAGCGAACTTAGTACCAATCGAGATCTACTAGTCAGAGTATAGTGACAAAATTTCCAAAACTGGATTCCTGGTTAACGTGACCATCAATTTAATCGCGGAAAAAATACGCGCCTGGGCATCGAACCCGGGTGGGTTTCGGAGTTAAATCGCTCAACAAGGCGCGCCGAATATACAGCGCGTGTGTAGTTTTCAACAAGCTGACTCGTGCACTCTCTTTGGATGTGCAAGGTCCGCTACTTCCTCGGGAAGGCCTAGTTTCAGCTTCAACCATACTTGAGAGGCCACCCGTTAGCATAGAGTTCTATGTGTACAAGGATAATCAGCCAATTTCCACCGCTCGTTTGAATTTAGCTTGAATTTTCAGCCCTATACTGTAGACAGGTCGCACCTGCGTAATGTGCGTGGAAGGTTCTACACGTGTAGTGAAACTTTGGAAACTCGTTTTGCGTGTGTAGTTTTCAACAATCCGACTCGCACTTTCTTTGGACGTGCGAGCTCCGGTGATATGCAGTAGTCATAAAATATGTTTTTCACTAGTCTTTTTCATATCACTAGGGTGGTGACGAAACTCCAATACGATACGGTGAAAATTTTATACACAGTTGATTTTATATACAAAAATTGCCTACATATAATGCGGGAATTCAAATGTAGCCAAGGAAAAAACAACAAGCTCAAACAATTTCACGAAAAAAAAATCCGTAACAAATACTCTCCAACAAAAACAACCAACAATTATCATACCACTCTCTCGTCACTTCACAACTCACCTTATGCAATCCACTTAGACACAATCGCACTATTCTCAATCGTTGTTGTGCATCCTCTTGATTCGGACCACCCTCACTATTCTTCTTATGTTTATGAACTCGACTACCGCGATGCGCAGGGCGCATCTAACACGGAGAACCATTCAACTTTGACAAAAATATTCGAAAAATGTGATCACATTTACATGGGAAACTGACTGAAAAATGTGGAAAATTCAAAATGAGTTCCTCCAGGATCCTCGGATAGCTACCCGGCGAATAAGTACTAATAGCATTTCTACACTAGAACGCCTAATAGGTCCCCGGTTCGATTCCCAGCGAGTGCATTTTTCTCACCATTTTGCTCGGACCTTGCATTTCACTCGACAACATTTTCTCCAATAACTTTGCGAACGTCTCCGCGATGAGTACAGCGACATCACCTAAGTTCAAAGTGGCCTAAAATGGACCTCAAGATACCCAAAGATACCATCTTCAGTGTGAGTGAGTCTCATAGAGCATAAGAACGCACAGCCGCGATAGAGATGACCCATGGCGCGACGGTCATCTTGTACAGGACCTAAAATGGTAAACATGAATCGCTTCGCTCCGCTATAGGAAATTGATACTTACGCCAGTGTGGGAAAAGTTCATATGCGTCAATGACAATATGAAAATTTTTCGGGAAATTCTTCTTGGTTTCTATACACTTCTACCCAAATTCGTGTGAAAATTTTCATTATATAACTCTGAAAACCCCCGAGCTCAGCAGCTGAGGGAGCTGTGGTAATTCAACACATGTAGTTGACCATGTGCATATTTCCCCCCCATACACACTGTAAGATGGAATAATATTGGTAAAACAATTATTTTATACCAGAACCAACGAAAATTTCATAAAATTTCTTCACCAACACATGTAGTTATATTTTCCCCCACACCCTGGACCCACCCTTTTCGATGAGTTGATGAATCACTTCTTCAGCCACGTCAGTTTTCAGCCTAGGCTGTTCTCTCAGCAATTTGTGTAATAATCTGAAATTTTTTAATCAGAAATTTCGCAGAAAAAATATTCCAAATTCATCATCCACTTTCACAATAAACTTCAGCATTCCTCACTCGAGTCAATTCAGCCTAAAAATTTTTCCATACACTTTTCGGAAAAAAATTCATAATTTTACGTAATTTTCCGCGCACATTTTTAATCAGAAATGTCACAGAAAATATCCTCCACTTTCCGCATCTTTACGCCTCACTAAAATCCAAAAAAATTTTAGGAAAATTTTCAAATTTTCAGCATATTTTTACACGAAAAAATATATTCCAACTCCATTCATCACCGCAACTCCTCACTTCTCCGCCTCACTAAGATCAATTCACCCTCTAATTTTTCCAAGAAATTTCTTGGAAAATTTTCAAATTTTCACGATATTTTCAGAAATTACACAAAAAAAAATTTTCACCACAACAATTTCTCACCTCTCCGCTTCAGTGGAATCCTTAGTTGTAAGGCCCGAGACCAACATAGCTCGCAACGCAGACTCTTGCTCACGACGAGCGTGAAGTAGCTGAAGTAGAAAAAAATATACAGAAAAAAATCACCGGTGTGGAAAAATATAGATTTATAGGGAATTTATTGTATACTTCTACCCGAATTCCTATACACTGGAGTTTCTTGACCCTAGTGATATGAAAAACACTAGTGAAAAACATATTTCACGACTACTGCATATCACCGCGAATATCGCGTTTTTCACCGAGTTTTACGACGCCACTTCACGTAAAACGGGTCGTGATATGGGAAATATATTCCACAATTCACTTCGCGGAAAATAATTGTGTTATCAGCGGTCGCGGAAAAATATCTACGCCACTTCACGTTGACCGGATCGAGAAACTCTATTATTAAATGCTCTGATATTAATAAAGATGTGAATCATTCAACGACGATTTAAACAACCAAATACTATAAAAAATCTTCCGAGACAAGATCAATTTTGTTACCTACTATACGTCCAAATCGTTGAGAAATAAATTCCGTTTTCGGAATTAATTACCCACTTACATCGTGTGCAACTGCCAAACATTTTTTCCTCAAGTGCTGCTGTGAACCATCAGCACTGCCAGCGACCACTATCTCGCGATGCAATACTTGGACAAATGCCGCCACCAAAATTTGCAGTTCAGATTCGAAGTAAATACGCACCAATGAAAGTCGACGTTCGTGTGGTTTTGATGGTAAATTGGACAACTCATTCTTCTGCTGAGACCTGAGAAAAATCGAAATAAGTGTAATTTCGTGACCCTAGTGATATGAAAAAACATATTTCACGAGT